TAGTCATATAGACCCCCCTAATAACATGTAGGTAGTGATTTAACTAATGTTCTTGGGGGCAACTATACTAGTGTAGGGACTATATGGGGACTAACTATATTTTTCTCCATCATCCAGAAATAATCACATTTGTGCTTCTTGTATGTTTTTTTTTTTGCCATCTCCTGTAGTCTGGTTCTACCAAAGACAAGTCTAAAGACAAAAAGAAGAAATCTGTCACAGAGCTGGTCCAAGACGTCCCCATCAGAACAATCCTCGGCTCTGCTCACGTCCCCCTGCAAAGCCTGGTCAACGGAGGTCAAAAGGTCAGCGTCCTCTGTGAACTCAGTGGCCTGCACTCAGACTCTAAGGTGGAAGCTACGCAAACCCCTCAGAAGGTGAGTTTACATGCTGTACAGGTTACACAGCCAAACTATTGTTGAGATAGTACGACTAAAATCTGGTTCACTTACCTGAAATCGGTGCTGATGCTTCATGAAACAGGATTTACAACAACCACAAGTGTGATATTTATAATGAAAGGAACAGAAACGTGCAACATGTGGGATTGTAAACCGTGAAAAAGCTATTTCATGTCATGTTTTCATGTTTTTTTTTTCACACGTAACTTTAGGATCTGGGAAAGAAAATCAAAGAGGACAAGGAGTCAAAACGAAGAGAAGGCAGCGGTACAGGACAGAAGAATACAGCATCTTCAAAAGGTTGTTTAGACAATCAAACACATTATCAAACTGAACAACCTGCTCATTGAAAAATGGTTTTGGCATGAATAAATACTGTAAAATATGTCTGATAACAGTACCACAGGTATGAGAGCTGGTGTGCACAGGTGGATACTGTGGGGATGTTTGAAGGGTACCCTTGTTATTTACTACGTGGTTTATTTCTTGCAGATGGCTAAAAGCAAGGGGCTCAGATATTAAGCAGACTTTGATGTATTACTCAGCACGCTTTTCTTCCCAGTTCCCTGAGTCTTGCTTGATGTTGTGCTCTGCAGGCAAAGGAAAGGGAAAGAAGAAACCTGAGCTGGATGTCCACACAGACTCCTTCATGTCCGTGGAGGTGAGCGTGGAGCTGGAGAAGTGGCAGTCTGCATCTGAAGCTCACCAACTAACGCTACCTCACTGAGCCTCGACAGCACAGAGCGCCGCTTGTCTTAAGGTCCCATCTGTGTTTTTTCATGGCTGCTGACTGTGAATGTACCATTGAGCTGAATTGTTTATTAAATCTACTGCAATGTGTTGTTGGTTTCAGTAAATCCTCCTGAAAGGTTATCAAGCTGCTTTTAAATGTCCTGTGGGAGGACAAAACTATTTTCCTGCTTTACTTTACCCAAAACGTAAAAGTAAATCACATATCAGGCTATTGACATGTAAATATAAATACAACTGACAAAAAGGAGGCAAGTTAGGAAGAAGGGGCTGCAAGGTGGAGTAGTGGTTAGCATCGTTGCCACATCACGGCTTGAAGGTTGCTGGTTCGCGTCCCGGTGAGGACACCTGAGATCTTTCTGCGTGGAATTTGCATGTCCTCCCCATGCAGAGTGGGTTCTCTCCAGGTTCTCCGGCTTCCTCCCACACAGTCCAAAAACATGTTGAGGTTAATTGGTGATTCTAAATTGTCCGGAGGTGTGAATGTGAGTGTGCTTGGTTGTCTGTCTCTAAGTGTAGCCCTGTGATAGACTGGCGACCCGTCCAGGGTGTCCTAAGTCAGCTGGGATAGGCTCCAGCCCCCCACGACCCTAGTGAGGATTAAGGTGTATAGATGATGGATGGATGGATGGAAGTTAGGAAAAATCCAGTCTGATACATACTTATTTCACCACGTTGAGGCTATTATGTAATCTTAGTTTCTAAATTGTTAAACTGTTCAGCTGCTGGTTTTAGGAGCTTCTGTATAAAATATTAACGTACTGTCCATATGTAGTGCATTGTGTTTTTTTCTATGCAACGGTGTGCGCAGGTAACACGATGCACGTGACTAACAAAGACCGTTATGAAAGCATAATGCACACGCAGCACATTTTTTATTTAATCCATAAATTTTATTTATTTTTATACAGATATTCCAAACATGTTTAAAGAAATGCCTAAGTGTTTCATTGTTTCAAACAGATATGATCTTTTAATCAATACGAAACTTTTTGGAAAGGCCATTTTACTGGAACCGAGGGCTTACAGTAAGTATGAAGTGCTTCGAATTTAACTGTTTCTCTCTTACCAATCTTCCAGCTGTCCTTATAGAAAGGCCATAAAAAAAAGTTCCTATTAAAGCCAAACAGCTCTGGGTTTCACAGCTCCACTCCAGACAAGAGCGAGCAAATCCCTCCCCCGTCACAAAATTACACACATACTATCAAACCTTTAAAGAGTACATAGTATTTCCAGGCATACAAAAATAAACTATATCGCTCACCAATTTTTGCGCAAAACTGACATTTGTTTTTCGATCAAGTAATTTACAGTTTCAAATAAACACCTTTTATGATACTATATTATCTTTGTAACCCCTCCGACAAGCTGTGCAAACAATGTAAGAGTATTGATAAATTAAAAAGATCTGAAGAAGACCATTGTTTCTCCCAGAATAATACATCCGCCTACGGTATCCTCTCACTCACACAATCCCAGGATATCAAACATTTTTCCAAGACAGTCATTTACAATTACAAATAAAAACTGTTAACTCCTGTATTTTTTTTTTTAATGTTGGATGTCTGACTTTTTGGAAAGAGATTCTGTGGAGATGGTTCTCCTGTAAGAGCGCTTGAGGGCTGGCGTGGACAACAAATATGCTTGGCAAAAACAAGCACACAAAAATGCGCGCACACAAAAACTATGATCCCAAAAGCATAGCAGAACCTAACATGATGTGCAAATATAGTGATTGTGCGAACGAGGGTTTAAAAAGGCTTTAAAAGGTCTGATCATCGTTACAGGATTCGGTCCAGTGGCCAAAGACCTCACAGATGTCGCAGTATGGCCGTTCTTCACCCTTATTGCCGTGGTAGGTGGTGTGGGGAGGGGAGTCGGGCATCTGCATTTGCGTGGGACAGTCCTCGGTGTCGTGGAGGTCGAAGCAGTCGCAGATGTCACAGAACAGTCTTGGCGGAGGCTTCTTCTTCGTGGGTTGCTTGTCATGGCTGCGGAGAGAAATAAAAGCAGCTCCGTGTCAGGTCACTGTCCAGTGATATGAAAGCTGGACAGGTATTATCTTAAAGAAGAACAGACCGTTGTTTTTCCTAACATTAGTATCGTTATTCTCATTAACTGATTGCACATGAAATAAATTGTCCCGCTCACAGCAACATCTGGAGAAGCTCCGGTAAATTAGTTGTGTTTGGAACGTGAGCTAGCAGATGTTCCTGAAGATATAATAAACAATCTTGCAAAAGGAAGCCCAGTTTACATGTTAACACTGAAAATAATTCACGCTAGTATCAGTGCGACCTGAACTTGCTGACGGCGCCACGATCACTAAGAGGTCTGCTGTGTGCCTCAGCCTATGGCTAACTCTATCTGGAGGACCTTTCTAAAATCAGTTTAGCAGTTTGCTCTAACTGACGGATACATCTGTGCAGCAGAGACACAGCATGCAAAAACTGAACATGAAGCACAGCCACGACCACATATCATAAAACTAGGTATTTTGACAGTGGCTAATGGCTTGCGGCTAAGTTAGGATGCAGCTATAGTTTAACCCTGTAACAATATCAAATAATGCTGTAAAATTTGAGCCTTAGTAGGCATTTAAAGTGATAGAACATAGAAAGATTAACAAAACAGAGTAGAAGATGGAACTGCAGGGGACAAACTTTCACAAAAAAAACCTCTCATCCTGGGACACTGACGTCATCAGTCCTGTTGGTATTGTGCATATTCAGAGATCCTACTAATCAAATAACCTAGGGTATGAATGCCAAGTTCCCTGCTATCACATGCTGT